CACTTAAAAGTAAATCAACAAGATATGAGAGTTGTTAGCCGAGATGGCAAACGACAAACGCGCCAATGCAAATGCCAGACGATAGTCGGTAGACATGCTAAGGCAGGTAACTGGAGGCTTTTGAAATGAGTGTTGCAAGTACCATAGAGAAGATCCTTGGCTGAAGGTAAGCTGTTGCCTACAAAGCCACCGCAAACCAAACCAAAGTCACTTAAAACGATGCAGAAATTGCTTTTTGTGCCAACACACGAACACGCACACACACACACACACACACAGCTATAAGCAAATGAACGAAAAAGTGACATTTTAGTCACCTGGAACATTGCTTGCAAGAAGCCCGCATGCAAGCAAACAAGCAGACGACTTTACCGGCGGTGGCGGTGGAAAAGTGAAACCAAATTCTCAGCAAATAACTTCAAGTACCTGAGCACGGAAATCCCTACAAAGGCTTGTTTGTCTGGCTACGTTTTCGCGTATATGTGTTTGTATGTATGTATGGAAATATGCAACAGAGTTAGCTGGATATGCAATTGAGGCTTTGACGCTGCCTGCAACACCGTACAGTACAGGCATTTAGCTGTGGCGACAACTCGGTGTCACGAGACATTTTATACACGCGCGCATCGCTAAGAAGGTAGGTGCCAAGAAGCAGCCATTTATTGTTGCATGCAACAAATAGCTAAACAAGCGCAAAGTGCCGGTGTAGCAGTTTTCACATTCTACACTTGGCGAATATTACAACGTGACAAATATTCGTGATAGTTGGTAAATGTGCAAGTTTATAAATATGTATGTAGTACATCGTGTATTTGCATGTTCATGGCGGTACATAGGTGTATTGAAATGCGCGCAAGGCGAGATGACGCGTTAAAATGTGTTTTGTAATGTGTTGCAAGTTGGTTGCAAGTATTCGTCCGCTTGTCTGTACTTGCTGCTAAAGCATATGTTTGCTTTACGATTTGAAGGAGTACATATGATTATGTGTATAGTGTTTCCATATTTGCGACAAATTGTCACCTCGAAATGGTATAAACGCTTTTAAAGTGGAGGATTCATGTAGAAAATACGAGCGCGTTTGAATTGATTGTCGTCGTGATTTCTTTGAATATCATGCGGCTTTCTCCTGTTTCTCCCACTTTGCATAGATAGTATGATTGCTTGAACATCGAAGGTTTGAGGTCGGGTTTGTATGTATGTACAGACATATATTAGGGTAGGCCTTAAATGTATGTATATTAGGGTGGTCCTTAAATGATTTCCTAACCTCAACCCCTACGCCTATGCTACTATAGTCGAAGATATCTATATACATATATAATACGCGAAGGCATTTTTTCTCCAAGATAAAAGATCTGTACCGTTCGCCAGATTTTCAAAAATGAGATGTTAAATTAAAACGCTTGGCCTGCAGATGTGCAAACTGGTTTTAGTTTTTCGAAAAGAGCTGCCACCTGTTAAAAAAATTAAATTATTTAATAGTCTGGGCCATCAAATCCGCACCGTTCGTTTAAATTTTTTGAAAAGAGTTGCCACCTTTTAAAAAATTATATTCAAATTATTTGAAAAGCTTTGTTTCTTAGCTGAACTATAGGAGGGTTGCCACCTGTTAAAAAATCATATTAGGTAAGTGAAATATGTATCACCATGTGGGTGGCACACGAAAGGTGCTTCAGACAGTAGTAGTTTGAAAATATTTTGAAGAGGATTGCCACCTGTTTGAAATGTCGAATTTAGTTTAGTTATTCACAAGTTATACGAAATATCAAAATTTGGATGTCAAACGAAGGAGTCTTAAAAAATCTTTAGTTGGAACCCTACGAATATTTTCGAGGTGTTGGAAGAGGGTTGCCACCTGTTTAAAAAGTTAAATTCAAATTATTTTATATATTAAAGGAATTATTAAAATATGGGTATCAATCGAAGGGGGTTTGAAAGATTTTTATTTCTGTAGCTCGTTTATGTAACTCTTCTCTACCGATTATTTCTCTACTGGTAGAGAATATACGTCATTCTCTACTACTCTTTAGCAGTAGAGAACAGAGCGGCGAATTCATATCTCAATTCGCCTTGGTAGAGAATTGTTATAGAAACGAGCTATTGAACTGTATTTAGCGGGGTTGCCACATGTTCGAAAGTTAAAATTCCACTTAATTCATCAGTTAATAAAAATACTGACTAACATTTGGAATATTTTTTAAGTTTTTGAAAAAAAGTTCTGATTACCCTATGACGACGTCTTAACCGACTCCAATCGGGACCAAAATATGTATGTCATTTCTACGACTTTAATAGTATCGATTTTGAGTATTAAATGAAAAATATAAATATTAATTGTTTGAGTCTCCATAGAAGCATCTGGCCTTTGGTCTCCAATCGGGACCAAAATTTATATGTGATATCTGTGACCGTGATATTACCGATTAAGGGTGTGAGACTGAAAAAAATCGTTCAGATTTTTTAAGGACCACTCTAATGTATATGTTCCCCTGTTCGTACTCGTTGCGTCCACGTTTTTGCGCCACATAGGAAGTGTGTTTAGGGTTTTATAGAGTCCGATTGTTGCATGCTAGAAGAGGGTGATACTTTTCCACGGGTGTAGTTTCACGGTGCTAAACCGAAACAGAAACCGTAACACTTATTTTGACATGACAAGAACGAAACCGAACCCGTTTCAAGTACAGGAACCGGTTCCAATCGAAAAAAAACTATAAAAATGAGCTGCAGGATCTGGAAGTTATAAGCTTGTTTTTCTTCAGCAGCAAAACTGTGCCGTTACACGATCAAGAATTGGCTTTCAAGTTGATCACACATACTGCTTGTCAAAATTCATTTGAATTAACAGCTGTGACGTAAGCTGCACGCAACTTGATAGTAAATTTTTGTTTCAAGATGTCGTCATCAAGGAAGCAACTTAAACTTCTCGCCTCGTTCCCGTACACAGATTTTACTGACTGAGCACTGGAACACAATAAATAGGATCAGATGTTTGACTTGACTATCAAGTTGTAGAAGTGCGAGTGTGTATTGTTAAAAGAGTGTGAGTATATTGCAACTTGGAAACAAGTACAGAAACAATATTTTAGTACAGAAATTGTGTATGTAAAGCTTTGGTTTTGCCATATTTTATGCCACGCAATTTTAAGCTTTGTCGCGTCTTTGAAAAAAAAAGAATTTAAGTAAGCTTTCCACCCGATAACGCGAAAATCCGCTACGCTTTACCAGCGCGAAATTGTGTTTACTTTAGCTGGGTGAATTGCTTAAAGTGCATTTTGGCAGCTCAGTTTCTGGCTTAACTATACTAAGCTGATTGTTGACGTTTGCTGTTACTGTTTGCTGGTTGCTTATTGCAACGCTTATCTACTAAGATTTTTTTTTGTAGTATTTCAGCTTGAAACTGCCGCACAGTACACTGCCAAGCTATTCGTAGACAAAAAACCCAAAGCTGTGGGGCAGAAGGGTGAGCGAAATAAACTTTAAGGAAATCAATGAAAAATTGGAAATATTTAAATATATGTTAATGTTAAGAGCCAGAGGTTGCCACCGACGAAAAAGAAATACAACCATGGCGCCTAGACATTTGCAGTAGCTCCGACTAGCGATCAGAAGGACTGACGCTGAGTTTAACTCTAGTCCAGTAGCAGTTAACAGGTTACTACAGGCATTCCTATGTCCGCCCTCTCAGTAGAAATACCTCAAGGGTCCCCTGCATAACGAATTCATCAATTATACGTGAATGTGGTTTGAGACCTAAATCACTGGTCAGAGTGCACTGCTGGCATTCTACGGCCGATATCGAACATACCATAAGCATTCTCAGTGCCCTGATTTTCGCTTGTCTATCAGAGTTGATATTTACCATGTTGCGTAGCCCCCTTAATAGCAGCCATCTCTGCCAAGAATACGCTGCAGAATTCCTGCAAATGCTGAGTGTTCGTTAGGCGTGTGGTTGAAGGGTAAACCAGCGGACAGCCTCATATGGAATGTTTATGGGTACGACGCTAAAAATAGCGTTAGGCTATTTTTGCAACGTTTCGTCCTAGAAGACGCTCCTCTATGCTCAAGGGTTCAATATGGGGAAAATGCGAAACACGTCATGTTTGTTTGCCCACGTTTTGAACAGAAAAAAAAAAAATAGATCCAGCGTTTATTGATGATCCACTCCGACCAGACAACCTACATGGCATCATGTTCCGCTTAAAATATGCTTGCAATGCATCAATTATGGCCCTTGTATAGATACACGAGCGGTAAAGACGGGGAGAAGCTCACCGCAGAGCACCCGAACGGAACTTTTACGGGTGGGTACAAACGGACCCGGCTAAGGTGGGTTTTCTTATCAGGACTGCAAACTAGCTCCCGACAATATACCTAACCGCAGTGTTGAGGGATTTATTTATACTTACACGGTAGGATTTTCAGTTCGGGTTAAAATCCCATGCTGACAGGATTAGGCATTCGATGCTTCCTTGGTTGTTCTGATGGTTGAGTTCGTATCTTTTTGGGAACACTGCATTTCTGCCCTAAAGCAAAGATGAGCAAAATCGATGTGGGTGGTTACCAATGATTTTAAAGTATTTAACTCAAATGCTATACTAATGATAACACGAGTACGCAATTAACGCAACATTTTACTTTCTGCTAAATAGTTGATTTCTTGAAGAACTTTCTACCAATTCCCTGGCGATAGATTTTGTCATTCATACCCAAAAAGAAAAACACGCACGCGCTATCGAACCCAAGACTAACCAATTCATCAATGTTCAGACAAACAAACGAAAAAACCACCGAGGCGAAAAGTCAACTGATCTGGTAACACCACCTTATATGAATTCGGCTTGCTTGCTAGTTTCCAATATTTCGAAAATATTGGAATATTTTTTGCGCTTACAAAAACTTCAAAGGCATTCAAACAAACGTTTGTATATTTAATAAATTTAAAGAAAACGTCTTTCTTCTTTGATTGCACATTTTTTTTCCAACGAAACGCAAGATTAACAATGTCACGCAGAGTTGTATGTATAGAATTACCTATGGCGCAAACTTGTTTCTACATAAAGGATATGCTCTTACATACTTATGTCCATAGATGGGGAATAAGAAGAAAAGTGCCCACATTTCACGGATCACCTACATCATCACGTTCAACAAAGAGATCGACTATGCAATTCATCAGCGCAATTCTTTGTCTATATTCGACTTTGTTGATGGCAAAAGTAAGGACGTGACGCCAAAGTTTATGGAAAATGAGTCGTTTGAGCTGGAAAAAGTCCGCTATCTACATCGCTATGCCGAGCGCTATGTCTCAGAAATTGCTGAAAAGCGTAGCATTGGCAGTACTGGCTCCAGTGTCAAAAGAACTAGCATCAGCTCTATAAGGGGCAAATCCAGTGCTCGATTGGTTCTCGGACTTAAATGGTCACTAGATGATATCATTCAAGCGGTATGTATTAATGTAGCTAAGTATTTATTGAAGTGAAGTACATACTACATAGCCTTAAACAGTGCACGCCTGTGGCTGATTGATAGTGTAGACAAAGGTTCTCTTTGGCTATCTCGTCCGCTCTATTATTACATTCAAGGCCTTCGTGTCACTTCCAGCGACAACCTTCTTATTGCTTACTTACAACCTACAAAGGTCTTCGCGCCTTAACGGTTACCTGGCTGAGAAGATATGTAAATGTGTACATTAGGTTAGGTTAGGTTGTCGCGGTCGTCTATAAGACGCACTTAGGCTCAGAGCCCATTGTGATGCCGCATGTGGGGTCAGCAACTCCCAATCCCCCTAAAACCAATTTGAGCTTAGAACGAATTTTAGAAGATCCCTGATTTCGACACATCTAAGGTCCTCCAAGTTGTCGAAGAATTGCCTACCGAGAGTGGAGAGTCTACGTCTGGATAGAGCAGGGCACTGGCACAACAGGTGCAGAATGTGTATATTACAATGGTTCTTCTTCATCCACTACTCCAAATTGATTTTACACTACAGTTTGATGTCCAGGATGATTCCAAGATACTTAGCGCTTGGCTTTAGAATGGTCTTCCCTAGTTTAGGTGCTGCAGACTAGAATATTGCATTTCTTACCGAATTCAGTCCTACTTCCATTGGCCAGTTGCTGATGGCTTTCAGGATATGGCTCTCCACAGCGCTGTTGCTGATGATAACATGAAACGTCCATTTCCTCGGAACGGTGTGCACCCCTGCCGTGGCAGCCAAGCTTTTAAAGCTTGCTTCAATATATTGTTAAACTCTCCTGCTATAACTGTAACCTATTCCCCATTTTCCATGGCTGCTTAATGCCGTCCAACGGAATTGTGCAGAGCAGTGTCGAAGAAGTTAGACTGATAGGCCCTTGATCTTTGGGATACATTGGCTATTGGCAGGAAGACCACCCCTGCAGTTCTCCAAGATTTTTTTCATATACTTAGGTTAAGGTCAATGCAGCCTTCAAAAATGCTATCATTCCGAAACATTTATTCTTGCTTCTAAAACAGTGATTTAAATTCGTATTAGGTACTTAGCGCTCATTGTATCATTTGCGTAGCTAGGAAACCTCCGACAGTCAGATCCGATCCTTCGGATTCCATCAGTATGTGGCCTGGGATTCCTGTGAGGAAGTTGCACTGAGTAACGCCTCTAGAGATTCTTGTCTATTCCGTTTTCAGTTTTAATAGGGCCGTGTACGATGGTCTCATTAGATATGGCTTTCTTAACCATACAATATTGGATTGTCTGATTTCCGCTTGCCTCATTTGCTTGAAGAATTTGCTCACTTGGATTTTGGGAGCTCCCTATTCAGGATTCCAAAGGCTTTGATGTGAACCTTCTCAGAGAATTTATCCTTGGTTTTTTTTTCAAGCGGTCTATACATATATCGCTAAGATCTGTGTATCGCAATCCTCTTTTCAATAATTTTTTCTAGTTAGTTAGTTTGGGGTTTCTAAACCAGTTTCGAACTTGTAATATTTCTAAGAAATCTAATTAAAAAGCTCGAATTTTTTACGAGTTTGTGGATTTTTTTTTAAATATTGCTCAAAGATTAAAACTTGGCTTTATACGATTTTTTTTTTTAAGAGTAGCTTTATAACAAATACATTGTAATTAAAAAATAATTATATAAATAGTCAAAATTAGTAAATATGGGAGTGTAGTTATGATTAGGAATAAATCGATACCATCAAAATATTCCTCAAGCCAGTACTTGTACTTGTATCAAACAAGGTATCGATATGTACTCAGTATAGGAAAAATATCGAGTACTTGTATATAGAACTACGATTTTCAAAAGTTATTGTATTTTTTTTCACAAAAAATATGAATTTTTACAAGATTATTTTTCTTCTAATATTTTTTCATACAAAAATTTAAGACAGCAATTATTTTTCTATAGTATTTGATTTCAAAAACAATAAAATACATTTTTACAAGATTAATAGATACATTTTTTTCATATAAAATAAGTTTAAGAAGAGAGCTCCTTTTTTGTTATATATCCCAAAAATATCAACTTTTCCAAGTGTTTTCCTGAAAAACGGTTTAGATATTTTGAGATAGAAGTTGCACCGGTTTTTGAGAAAAGCCTCTCGCGAGGGACAGATGACCCAACAAACGTTATATATATACGGGGTTGCTTATATAGCTGCGTAAATGTAGTGCGCATATCTTCCAATTCCTCTAATGGGTTGCTTTTCAAAGAAGATGCAGAAGCATAATAAGTTTTGCGCTTCCGATACAAGTACTGTTTTTTCGATACCTACTTGGATGGCAGTAAAAAGTGTCGAGTACAAAAATACTTGGTAAATTGAGAAAAGTATCGTGTATGTATTTTGATACACTTGTACCGATTCATCCTTAGTTATGATAAGCATTTTTTGGACATTGCTTATAAAGATTTTTGAAATAACTAGAATTTAAACTATTTTTATTTCTTTGGGTATTGTATGTAATCGCTCTAACCCTGCAGATAGGCAGCATGTATTTCATTGGCCGAGACTTGGATGAACACTCTATTTTTAGTTTAGTACCTGAGGCAGAAACTTATAAGCTACCATTTATTAAAGTGAGTTTGCGTAAAACTGAAGAGATTGTACTCTTCGAGCAAAGCAGCTGGGCTGTGGTAAAGGGCAGCGAAGAGGCTGAGACTGTAGAGCATGACAATCGTATCTACGATTATCTCACTGTAGGTAGAGGAAAAGTTCGACGTCGTTCCGAAGCCGAAACGCAAACAAATTATTTACTGACAAAGACACGCAACGTAAATACAGTCGTCAAAAAAAGCAACGAGAAAGATGCGTATGTGTCCTTTTTCGAAATGTTCGACACCTATCAGAAATTGCTGCAATACAAAGCGTCTTGCCAGTATAAACATCTATCGCTTGATGCGAGCAAATTGGACGCCATCGCCAAGAATCCGAATTTCGCCTATGCTGCCATGGTGTTGGAACGCATATTGGCCAGCAATTGTTATCATCAAGAACAACGTCGCTATCGTAACATGATAACAGTCGACAAAATGGATAGAGTTGCCAATTACAAGTATACGCTGAATCTGTTATACCGCTTAGTACAGCCTGTCTTCGAACCAAGTCGATTTCTGCAGAAAAAGCGTAAAGCAATAGCAGCCATAAGTTTCTGTTATGGCAATGGTGATCTGATAGCTGTCGCATACGGCTTCTATTCTCATTCGGCAAAGGTAACAGTGAACAATGGCAATGTTTGCATTTGGAGTATGAAGAATCCACAAAACCCCGAACGCACTTACGACTACCCGGTGCCGGTAACATCTTTGGAATTCTCACCATTTATGCCTTTTCTTATTGCGATCGGTCTGTACGACGGCACTGTGCAGGTGCGCAACATAACGAAACTCGGTGGGCCGCCAGTTGCCGTTTCACAACGCAATGTTTTATTAAGCTCCGAACCGGTGACAGCCATTCAATGGATTAGTCAGCCGCAGGATGAAAGCGCGGAAATAGATCCGTTCTTGGCGTTGACACGCGATGGTAAAGTGGCAAAGTTTCGCATAATTCCTAGCCCGTATCTGTTGGGTATGCGGCAGATGGAGTTAATACGTATTGAAGGTCAACCGGAGGGTTTGCAAAAGCGTTCGGTTAATGTCACTCTGAATGATAACTACGAATCGAATCGGCATCCATGTGGACTAAGTCTGGTTATGCATCCGATGGTTAAAGATCTATATTTCATACTCACCGATGAAGGTTGCATTCAAATGTGTTCGCTCAACCACACTCATCAATATCTCGATGCGTTGCAGGTACATGAAAGCTCAACTAATCACATGGACTTTTCACCATGGTCACCGAAACTTTTTCTAACCTGCGGCAATGACTGGTAAGTTGGTGAAAACAAGTGAATGAAGAGACTAATTAAAGTTGTTAACAGTTTTTGACATTTGCAGTTAGATAGCTCAAATATACCAACGACCAGAATTGACACTAATAAAAATATTCCAATTTTGTTGAAAAAAAAATCTTTAGTGTCGATATAGTCAAACTTTACGCCGGCAATAGTACCCGTAATGAAATAGACGTCGCGTTTTTAACTCGCATCAATGTATCTGTTGTCGCTTTGCTTGGAGAATATACCCTTTCCAGACCTACAGGTCAGCGGAACTCGGGACGCATTTTACCTAACTAGTTTCAAAACAGTCTGAAGTCTGACAAGTTGCGTTGTCCAAGAGGACTTAAAGAACGGTTCAGGGTTACGAAATGCCTACTAAAGCTCGCACATCCATCAGGCCGATGTTCGTTTTTGCTGAAAACTATGTATAGGCTGATTGATTTGAACATCTAGAAAATGATTCCTCGTCTTTGCCTATTAAGAACTCTAAATGCGTTATCCAACCCCAGGCCGATCGAGACCGTGAAGATGACAAACTTCACTGTGTGAACCGTTCTCGAGGTGGTGCTACCATACATCGTAGTGTAAACAGGAGTATGCCACAAAGTGTCAAATCCCTCTACTGCTTTCCACTGTGTTTGTATACGACCAGAAGTTTCCGGGTAATTATCCCTGTGGATGACATTGAGCTTTTAGTAAGGGGTCAATTTCCACCATACTATTCATGGTTATATCTAAAAGGCTTTCAAGCCGTGAGAAAAAGTGGTCTGGGAACAGTGAACTCGCTGTAAATTCTAGGAAGGGGAACTCATCTTGTTCACTAGAACCATAATGGGAGGCTTTCTTCTGGCGCATTTCGCTTGAGTATAGCCAGAAAGTTATAGTTAGAACCTAACATTCAGAAAGGAGTCGATTAGTCAGAGTTGGGACTGCCCTCATTGGGCATTCCCCAGTGGCGATGATTTTACCGGAGGCAGTGATGTAAGGTGGCGTCGGTGAACTTTTATGCCGCTGGGCCAAAGCCTAAAGTAAAAGTTGATGACTGCTAATTTGCGCAATGTCGACCAGGAGTAGATATTTACCCATATATGTAATACTTCTAACGGGTGATTTTTTAAGAGCTTGATACCTTTTTTTTTAAAAAAAACGCATAAAATTTGCAAAATCTCATCGGTTCTTTATTTGAAACGTTAGATTGGTCCATGACATTTACTTTTTGAAGATAATTTCATTTAAATGTTGACCGCGGCTGCGTCTTAGGTGGTCCATTCGGAAAGTCCAATTTTGGGCAACTTTTTCGAGCATTTCGGCCGGAATAGCCCGAATTTCTTCGGAANCATGTATTTACCTACTCTAATAGCCAAGCGGAAACCATTACCTTGCCGAGCTCGCTAATGGTGCCCTCTAAGATAGTAAGAGATAGCACAACGAACGGCGGGGGAAAACAATGATATGTTTAACTGAATGGTCTTTCTGGCCAAGGATGGACCGAAGGCAGTCAAAGGATCTTACTAGACGCAACGCTCAATTCTAGTGGGTATATTGAGAGTACACTATTTGGTGAATTTTCACTTGTTGACACTAAGCGTCACACCGCATCCTTATTTATACAACCGCTAAGGGCAGAATGTGGTGGATCATCTAAACACCTTCTCTCGATCTGTCCAGTTGTTTCGAGACTACAGTAAAAAACAACTTGGATCGCACTGTTTACATTGTCCTAAAGAGCTCTCCGCGGACCGACATTTGCGGCTTGCGGGAACTTCGTTCAAGGCTCAAAGCTTGGGTCGCTATAGCTTAGCAGTTTCTGTTCGAAGTGATATTGCAATGTGTATGGTCAAAGTGTGCTCCTGTTTGGGACCACCATCTAATCCTAATCTTACGATAACTACAGTAAAGTATAAAGTGAATTCAACTGAGAAGCCAGAGCGATGTATCTCCAGTCGCGTGCAATCAGCATAAAGTTTAGCCAACTTTCATTTGTTTTACATATTTGTAGCTTAAATTTTACACTCTATTTCATAATTACATACAAATTTAACACATTTTTCCAGGACTATTCGCATTTGGCTAGAGGGCATTTTTCAGCCACTTATAACTCTTACTGATCGTTTTGCGCCAGTGCATTGTGCCATGTGGAGCCGTACTCATTCGACTGTGATCATATCCCTTAATCGCGAAACTGTCGATATTTGGGATTTGCGACGTGATTTGTTAGCGCCTGTATCATCGAAAAGGCTTGAAACATCCTTTATGACAATAGCCAAGTGAGTAGCTACTAAAACAAAATTTTCCACAAAAATGTGCACTCATTCAAACCACATGATCCAGCCCCTAGTAGATATACACGTTATACACCTTAATGCCATTTTCCCAGGAAAGCTTTAACAAGTGATTCCTTATTTGTAAACTATATATGTGCATATATCCCACAGATTAAGCTTGTGTGGCAGAATCCTTGCAATTGGCAATGAACGCGGCAATGTGCTTATGTGCAGCTTTGATGATATGCCCTTTCCTCCGCATGCCCAGTATGCTGAGCTAGAAAAAGCAATGTACAAGGCAGTTGACACATCACCAACCCTAAAGTATGAGTTGAAAAACATTGGCTACTTCGGTTACGAGAAGAATGAACGTCCAAGTAGATTTGTTTGAAAAAATGAAAATGGTCGAATGGGAGCTTGAGTTCTTTGTATGCTATTTGTAACCGTGTAATGCTTTTTGTTTGAATTTATTGCACTTTATTAAATTGTTTTGAATGTTTTTGAAATACAACCCTATTTCAGCACATTTTCAATGTATTTTCATTTGCGATAGGGCGTTTTTCAACCAAATTCTGAGAAAGGGTGTTTTTCAATAAAATTCTGAAATAGGGCGTTCTTCAGCCAAATTCTGAACTAGGTAGTTCTTGAAAAGTTTTCTGAGATAGGGCGTTTTCGAGCTGGCTGCCAAGATAGGTCGATCTTCCACTCAGCCATCGATCTGTTGCGAAAAATTCTCTGGGCAAATACTTTTGGCCGTGAGTGTACATACATCGCTTTCAGCAAATAACCTTATGTCATCAAACGTATTGCCAAATCATCGCCTCATTCGACGTTTGACATATCATCGATATGTCTTGTCATGTCAAGTCGTCTCATGACGCTCGACGTTTGCCACGCCTACGCATTCAATTGTTTAAATGATACACCAAAAAGTGTAGGAGAAGCCGAGTCTTACCCGCTCGTCTATGTATTCGCCTGTCATACGACAATTTCGTTTGTAGGTACTTAAACACCAGCGCTGAGATATTAAGCAGTAACCCAAGCAGCTATTCCAAGAACTGACAATGACTTTGATTTCCTTAAAACGATGCAGAAAGTATTAAAGAAAAAAAGTAAAAGAAAAAGAGAAAAGGCAAATAAAAGCAAATCAAACACGCGCAATCTCATAAAGGAAATGCACTCACTCCATTTATGTATGTAAATGTCCCACTCCCCCCTCCCGCCTCTTTTCGTGTTCGCTAACCTTCTCCACAGTTTGCGGGTAGCGAGTGACATTGCTGACAACAGAAATCATCAGGGGAATGCAATAAAACTGTTGTCGATATATGTGTGTATGTAAGTAGGAGCAAAAAATAGTAAGGAAGTTTTCAGTGGAAGTTTCAGCGTACAAAAAAAAGTACACAAACAAACATCATTGACACTATCTGCGGTGCCGCTATTTCTTTTACTTGGCTTTTTTTTTATCTCTGTGCAAATATCCTTGATTCACTTACTGTTGCAATGCGAGCTGTCGAATGTGTCAAAGATATATACGATTACTTATCCATGCATATGTAGGTATGGAATGTGTAGCTTGGAAACGGATATGGTGACGATTTCTTGGACGGATAAACAAGCAAGGCCATAAAAGTCAATCACTGGGATTGAACTTTATTTGTGTCGGTTTTAGTTAATTGAATGTTTCACTTTGAACCTTTAAATGTTGATCGGTGGGTTACAGAAGGACTAGAAAACTTGTGTAAATGTGAAAACGTAAAAAAAAACGGATCTAAAATAATATTTTTATATAAAATGGGAATTTCATATATCGCTAGCTTAGCGTGAACATTTGTTAAGTGCAGTTTTCCAAATTTTGTAGGAGAGAAGAAAAACTTCCAGAAGTCATTTTCTTCAAGTATGTATTTTGCAAAACTTCGATAAAATCATATTTGCACTTTTAATGAAACATTTTGCAATTATTTCGAATTTATCGCAGTTTTTTTCATTCTTGGACTTAACACGTTTTCGTTTCACTGCATAAAAGTGTACTCTTTTAATTTTCTTGCTTCTTGTATCAAAATATTAGTTTTAAGGTAGTTTTAGTTTCGCTCTAATATTGCGATATGTATTACCTCCAAGGGTGGATTCAGATGTGCCTTTTTATGTTTTATCTTTATCTTTATCTTAATTTTAATCTTAATTTTAATCTTAATTTTAATCTTAATCTTAATCTTAAACTTAATCTTTGTCTTTATCTTTATCTTTATCTTTATCTTTATCTTTATCTTTATCTTTATCTTTATCTTTATCTTTATCTTTATCTTTATCTTTATCTTTATCTTTATCGTTATTTTTTTCTTATACTTGGCTGTCTGGGTCTCTGAACGCTACTCAACGCAGCCATTCGTTTTCTGTTCCCCTCGTTCGCCATATACCGGCTTCACGTGACGCAAATATCTCCAAACACGATTGAGAAATTTTACTTAAAAAATTGTTAATCTTTAATTACAATTATAAACAAAAACTCCGCGAAAACCAAAAGTTGTTAATATCCTTATTCAACAAGCATGTATGTACAATTTCCATCTGTACATACATACATAAATATGTATATATGCAGCTACTCGAAATCCTACAATTTATTCAAATATTTTGGTGTTTAACGTCGTTTTGTTAGCCAATTGCTGTAGTTAGATTTAACTTGCAGTATCCGTTACAAACTTTCGATGGCGCAAAGTTATTACAGCTTGTTTTTATTTATTTATTTATTTTTTTTTGTATCGGAAATGTTGGTGATTCCCGCACAGGAAGTCGAAATTTCCGATTGTATGGCGCGATCACGCGAACTTCTGCTCTCTTTCCGCTACTCTCATTTACTAAAAGTATTGTTGGTAGTACAAATAAATATTCTGAAATAAATTCTCGTAATAGTTTTGAGTTGATTTCTTGCGGAAAGACTTAAACTATTTTATCGTTGAATTTAATTGATGTAAAACATGGCATTAGTGCCAGTGCAATGGCTGATAAATTTGGATAGCAAGAAAAGGAATTAAAATAAAACGATTTGGTCAAAATACAAATACAGTAAAAACAACTAAATAGTACTTCCTGATATATTTTCCTACATATTATTTTGTGGTCACTTATTTCGTCAAAAACTTTTTCCAATCTACTTAGAAACACAAGCGCTATTTTACTCTTCTTATTTGGCGCACTAACACCTTAAGCTATTTTGGCCGAGTTTTTATTAGTATCGCATCTTCAATATAGAACCATGGTATTAAATTTACTACGATAGACAGGTTCAGATTTTTTGCTGGTCATAAAAAAATACAAAACTCTCACTTCTTTTGATAACGCCAAACCCCTATTTGGAAAAGTGCCTCTGCCCTTCTACCTCATGTCCATGGGAAGACAAAGAAAGACGCCATGTTCATCCAATAAATGTAATGACCAGGAAAAGGTAGAACACCCATGGGACCTTGGGTCGTTTTACCAAAGCTGCCATGTAAAAATCCGCAAACAACGATAACCTAATGGCACACTTCCACTGTTTTGGTTGAACGCACACTTTGAGGACCAACCATCAACTCCGACAACTTTCTAGTAGCCGTAAAGCTACATGTTGCTTCCTGTGCAGCAAAAAATGTGCACCCAGCAATGCAGGAGAAGCTCAACGTCGGAAATCGACAAACAAAACTGATCGTCAGCATTATCACTACTTGACTCCTAAACCTCCTGAGTTTATGCGTGAATGAGATCAGCTTAAAACCGGTCCAATAGGTAGAACGACCAAAATATTTATCAGAAAATAAGCTGGCAGGCGACTTTTCGCAAGAACAGCAACAAATTTTACTTTAGTTGTATTAATTAGTTTTTAAACTTTAATCCTTAATTACATTTTCCAGCAGTGTAACCTTTGAGAGAAAAGTTCATTTGGCATGCAGGTCTTCGTCAGTTAATTTATTCCATATCTTCTGTAAACGTAGGCAAATTTTCTCCATTTTGAGTCCCTTATACTCCCCCTTTTGTCCAATATAAGGCCTCATACTCATAAATCGAATAGACTCGGAACTGGTGACTAGGACGGCCATTAATTCGACCAACCTTATACAGTTTTTTTTTTCTTTTTTGTATTTTTTTTTATTCAAAGCTTAAGAAAAAATACACCTGAACAAGACTTGCGTGCCAAATGAAGTTTTCTCTCACAGTTTTAACTGCTGGCATATGTAAATAAGGATTAAAATTAAATTTGCCGACAAGATGTACTTTGAACTAGTAGACACTGGGAAGTAAAGTCTCGTCGTAGAAAAATCACCTTCTATGGGGCATTCATCATACCTCTGCTGGTATATGGCGCTGAAGTATAGGCAATATACAATATCCGATAGGGCGATATTGGAGTAGTCGAGATTTTCCGGGTCCTTGCGCGTTGGCGACGGCGAATATGTACCACTGACGCGGGGACGATGAACTTTATGAGCTTTACAACGGTATAGACATAGTGCGGCGGAATAAAATACAGCAGCTCCGCTGGCTCGGCCATATCATACGAATTTACAGAAACGCTCCCGCTCTGAAAGTATACAACGGGATCGTCATGCTGGTAGCAGACGACGAGAAAAGCATCTGCGTGGCAAGACCAGTTAGGGACTTCGTTTGGCATTTCCAGTTGGCTTCACTTAGTATGGAATAAAAGCGACTGGCGTACTTTATTGAAGCAAGAAAAAGAATGAAACTCGATCGAATCGGCACATTTTGATTTGCAGCATTGCTTTAGTTTCATTCCATAGCTTCTCAATTCATCTTTGTGCCATTTTAATTTAGTGCTGAGATACTTTGATATGTATTTGGTACAGAGTTGAAATTAACGAATTCAGTACGGCTTAATAAAATTTTCAAAAGGGGCCTTGCGAGAAGAACACAAAAGGAACATATCGAGGGCTTATATTCAATACTCTCTATCTGACAAAGCGTCAAAGGGCAGAGAATGTGCATCTTTTGCCTTACAAGAGTGTGCCTTTTTAAGAAACGAACACAACACTTTCTAACCGTATGCCTTTATTTTAGAATCGAACACCAAAAGAGAAAGGGCAACATTTTTTCTTAAAAAACGAGAACACTATTAATCAAAGTTTCAACCCATATTCACAAGTAAATAGTACGTTGCTAAAAAATTTTTAATAAAAAACTTTAAATTAAATTTGAAATATTCGCCATTTACTAAAATATTGGTAATATTTACATATATGTAAGTACTTTGTGTTGTGTAGATTCATTAAAATATACAAGAATTTTGCTTTGTTCACATTTGACCTAAAATCGCTTGAGGGCATCAAAGCGAAATCGTTATTATGAACTCATATTTTTAGTTGACAGATGAAATGAGTTATCATTTGGGCACGGCCGGCT